AAAAAAAAAAAAAAAAAAAAGCATTAAAGGATTACAGGGAGATCCCAAACACAGGCTGCACTGAACACAGCAGACCCGGATGCTTTCCTCCTGTAGAAATAGCACCATCATTTCTTAGCAAAAGTCTCTAAGAGTTTGATTCCTATTTGCCTCCTGAGTCGATATACGGCTGATTAGGAATTTTATCTGCTTTTCCTTTAAGTCCCAAGATTTATCCTACTGATTTGTGGGTTATGGATAAGATGTAGCTTCCTGAATACCAAGAATGAGAGACCTGGAAACTATTAACCCATGAAGTTCCCAAAGGCCATCACAGTAAAGTGCTGGTCAAGCTTCTGAGGAAGATGAATGGGCAACATTATGGCAAGATGTCAGCTGTAACGCAAAGTGGAGACTGGAGCTGGATTATTCCCAGCTGTAGTGTGCTCTTCTCATAAAATAGCAGCAGCTAACTAAGGTTTATTGAGTGCTAACTCTGAGCCAGCTCTTTTCATGAATTACCTCTTTAAACTCTGACAAAGGAATGAAGTGGACTCCTCCAACTCCCTCAACAGGCCATACAAGTGAGGGAACTAGAATCAAAGTTTAAGTGACTTCTGAAATCCCAGCGCTAAGAAGGGTGGAGAGGGGAGTTTGCATCGAGCCACCCTCTCCTGAGTCTTTGCACTTAGGATTACACTGGGGACTGCCAAGGAGTTTTAAACTCCCAGGCAAGTAAGTGCTTGCCTCTGAGGCAAGCCATCTCTAGCAGAACAGCTCAGGAAGGGCATGACAGGAGGAACTGGGGCAATTATAGGGCTTTAGAATTAGTGCCCATTTTAAGTGGACAACTTCTTTCCATCTAATTAGTTTCAGAGGATTTCAAACTAAGCAATCCTTTGCAATATATGTTCTGAACCATTGAACATATAATACCCAGTTATCAAGTGAGCATTATGACGAGACACATACTCAATTGACAAATATTCTAAAGTAAAAAAAAGAAAAAAAAAACCCTTGCCATTATCTTACTTTCTTAATTGATTTTTGTTAATATGAAATAGGTTGTACATGTGACTCATTTAAAATCATTTAGTATTTTTCCCCCCATTGATCTCCTCCACCTGCTTCCCCCCTTCCCCCCAGGGCATATATGTAAAATTAAATAAATAAATAAAAATAAATCATTGAGTATTAGTAAGAGTGCCTTTTAGGTGGATTCTCTGTGTGACTTTCATGCTTAAAACCCATTTTTTATTCAAATGTCTTACAGTCACCCTAGGAAAAAAGTTCTATTATTATTCCCCATTTTATGATGAAAAAAATAACAGACAAGAGAAATTATACAACTTAACAATATCCCATAGCATCACAGTCTTTAGAATAAAAAATTTTAACAATCAACCAATTAATCAAATTCTAAAATTCTAAAAAATATAGAACAGGATTCTAAACAAGAGACTTATTTCTCTAAGTACAAAAATAAAATCCCATAAGCTCATATCACACATTTGATTAATAACCTCATACTATTTTTTAAACTACTTGATTTCGTTTGTCATAACCAGTGATATAAAAGAATTTTGTACATAATTTATTAAAAATAACTTTGAGAAATAGCATATTTGACTGAGCGGTAATGAAACTATTGAAAAGATGAACTGATTATTGAATAATTAACAACTGTTAATCCTTAAAAATAATTGTTATAAGCCAACCTTGTGAATTAAAGATAGGCATATCACTAATAATCACAAATATTGGAATGCATATAAAATGTCCATGTAGTTAACATATATAGAAAATTCACTGACTGAAATCAGCTGTGAAACCTGACCTGGAATTTGGTTGACTATTAAGTTTAATTTTCTCTTGTTTCAAAATTTAAATAGTTTATTCTACATTGTTAAAAACTGTAATCTTAAAATATTAAAAAATAACTTTACAAACACATATAGGTATGATGAGCCATGTCATCTAAAAAGTTATAAAATATCTGTCCTTAAGAGCTTTCACAATCCCTGTATTTCAAAGCTTATTTTAAAAACCAACACTATTTTGCATTTACAAACAGTATCTTTGCATTAAAGATATGAACTGTAAATATTCTATTATGTACAAAATAGCCGTATCCCAATTTTAATTACACTACTCCTTTTGTTAACATAGAAAGTTGCATCTAATTTTTAAAAATCACACCTTTCTACAATTTCAAAGCCAAAATTAAAGGTTCTTTGCTGAAGAAATAATGAAGCAATCACCAAGATATTTGAAACAATAAAGTCCACATTACATTGATTTTAAGGAAAACCAAGAACACATGCCCTCACATAAAACAGAAACAGAATAACTCACTTTATAAACAAAGAAAGAAGAGACGGCTTTTAAAAATATTTAGATTCGCCAACCCAAGTAAGAATTTTAAAAAATAAAGAGAAGAGAAAGAGAGAGAGAGATAGAGGGGGAAACAGAGAGGAATGGAAAGGAGAGGGGGAGAGGGAGAAAAAGAGGGGAGGAGAGAGGAAGAGAGAGCAAAACCTTGCAAGAGTAAAAATACACTCTTAAAGCATTTTTTAAACTTAAATTTTGCTGACAAGGTGGGTAACAGAGGAAATGTAGATTCAGTGCAAAATTTCATACAGCATACAACCTAGAAACTCAACTCCATCAGAGCGGAATTGTTTTAACAGTCAATGCCTGGCTGGGAATCTCCCTTTGCATTATGAAGAAGGATCTTATTGTTTTATAAGAATAAAACAATATCAAGAATGCAGTATATATATACTTTACAATGTTTAGGGGGAAGACAGTCTTCAAGAACCACAGAAACGATTAACTAGGTAACTGGAGATCACGTTAAAGTAAGGTCTCTACAATTTTCTATTAGGCTATACTTTAAGTAGTTTATGATATAGACTTAAATTAAGTATATTTTATTGCACTATAAATTGGCTATTGGCATTATACCCAAATGTAAACAATAATGCAGACTTCCTTAATATTTCTATTTCTTTAGGTCTCCTTGGATGGAAGAAATGGAAAACTATGTTAAGGGCTGGGAAATTTGTGCACGTATCAGTAAATGTGCATTTCCTTAAAAACATTCCATCAAAACAAAAGGGTATCCCCAAGCGGAGCAACTCCTATTTTTTAAAAAAACCTTGGCCTTTAATTTAAAAAAAAAAAAAGAAAGAAAGAAAGAAAAGAAAAGGTGACAAAGCCACTGGCTTTTGTAGACGTATTAGGATGCTCTCATCGCTTTACACATGCTTCTGCTAGTGTCCTAAATTTAGGTTCCAAATGATCCAAAAATTCAAGCCCATCTTCTTCCTGCCGTTCACTGCAACAGCCTACAGAACCAGCCACGGATCCTTTCCCTTCATAGTTGTATGTACGGATGTAGTCTTGAGCATGTTCATGATTGTCATACTGATTACACAGCTGTACTTTCTGCCAAGCGGGGGGAAACACAACATATTTTATTATTATTATTTTAAACACCAAGACTTACTAACATAAAAATAATGGCTTTGATTTACCTTTGATTGTTTAATTTTTAATCAGAGTGTGTCCTCTAATGGGTTCCTACATATAAGAAATGCACATGATTGGTCTGTATCATAAATCACACTATAAATTCACTATATAGCATGTTTCTATAAGCCACACGTGTGTGACACAAGTGTTCACTCTAAGTAATCATCACTTTTCCTTTCAAAATTATAGCTAAAGGGAAATGCATCGGTTAAACTGATGCCAAATTGATTTGCATACAGATCTCTCCAGGTAGGCGCAGAGACTGTGCAGGCTGGAATCCTCTGGTCTCATACTTTTGATTTCTAAGCCCCACGTTGTCACGCGGGAAATATTAACACAAAATCATGAGAAAAATATTTAAATATCTCATTATTTCAGTAAGAACTGCAAACTAAACAACACGTGAGGAAAAGATCTACTTTCCCCCCTGAGCATAACTAAATCAAAATTAAGGAAGACAACTTTCCACCTAGTCGGCTAATAATTAAAAATGAAAGGCCGGGCCATTAAATTGCAATCACTTAGAAGGTTGAAAAGAAATCAACATCGATTTGTAGGACCCTTGGGGAAACTCACTTCGCCGAGCCGGGGCTGAGTGAAGCTGCGCCACTCCGAGTAGGCGTATCTGCAGCCGTCCAGCTCCACGTGTCCGGCCCTGCAGGAGTCCAGGCCCGGCTCCAGCGTGTGCGGGCGCCCGGGCCCCCGGCGCGACTCCAAGGTCTGGGCCTGCTGGCCTCCTCTCACCATTTCAATGATCTCCTGCCCCCCGGGTTTCACTCCTGATCCCACGGTGCCGAAAGTCCCCTGACCCGAGCTGCCCACAATCTCGGTTGTGAAGCCGTTTGCCGAATACTGAAATGAAACAGTTTGCTTTAGGGGAAGACAGAGACCACCACAAAATAGTAAGAAAAAGCACAAACCATGCAGACGGTGCCCTGAGCCTGTGCTAGAAGGTATGTTCTCTGCCAGCAGGAACTGAATCTCTCTTGGCAATCCTGAGGATCTAACTGTTGTAACCCCAGTCTTTATGTGGCTTCCAACACAAGACCAAAAGCTTAATGTATATCCTGTCCCTAAAAACTTCTCACAATACTGTCCAGCTTCACTTGTTAAAACTGTCCGGTATCTCACACCTCCCAATCAAGATCCCAGGACTACTGTCTCACATGCATTTACCCTGCTTAGTTTAAATCCATTCCCTTCACCTGACTAGGGGAAAAAACAGAAATAATGATCGATCTTTTTATTCAGTGTCTAATCTAGTTCCCCTTCCGCAAAAACAAAAATAATAGAAATAAAGCTGCCATAAAAAAATCTCATCTGTGATAATAAATCTTTGCAATCTAAATAAATAAAAATAATAAAAATACATCAGCAGGGAAAATAAGAATACCAGAGCTTCTTTGACTGCTAATTTTCTGCGCTGTGTTGTTATAGAGAACTCCGGGTTTCTTTTTCCTAATCTCTTCCTAGATGACAATGCCCTTTTGTTTTCTAAATCTTTCCTTTTGTTTTCTAAATCTTTCCTGCTCTAATCATCGATTATACTTTTTGTAGGAAATGTGCTTGTTTCTTGTTGATGAATTAGGTTAAAAATCAAAGTTGGGGCAATGTAGTCACTTGCTGGCATTGCTGTTTCATATACTTGACCTAAGGCTCCTTTCTAACCCACATTAGAGTCAGAAAGACTCCATTAAAGTTCTTCTCACGTTGATCAAAGCTTATAGTCATTTTATTGCTGTTGCAAAAAAAAGTTTTTTAAACAATTATACTAATGATCTGTGAATAATTAAGTGAAACATGTTTACAACACAAACAGCAGTTTCGATATATAAAAAACACTGAGCCTAAAACTGAAATCATGAAACATTTGAAATATAAAATAATACTGACATGCCCAAGGATTTTTACTATTAAGTAATACTATATGGCTAAACTGAAATGCCATCTATTACCAAGGGGAATTGATGTCATTTTATATGATCCATGGGACTGATGACATTTTATATATAACAAGTTACCTGATTTTAAAAGAACTTTGTTCAGAAAAAGGTAATTATAGTTGGTTAGGCCAACTTATCCTTTGTATTTATTTTAAGAAGACAAACTACTTACCACTTTGTCATCTCCAGGAGCCTCAGTGTTTGACACAATGAGGTTCTGCTGGGTTACATCATCAGGAATTGCTTTTGGCTTTTTGGTTGCCCCAGTTGTCCCACAGATTAAGGTAAACAGGATACCTAGAGGGTGACAGAAATTACTTGAGTTTACCATAAAACAATGTGAAGTTGTGAATTTTGATGACTAATATAAAGATAGCTTTCCAGAAAATGCATATGTGACGGCTTGTATCAGAGTAGCATACAATAGAAAAGGCTGCCGTCACCGGACATGCCACAGAGACATGCTAAATGCTGTATTTCTGTGTTAAATTTTGTCCATGCTGAGATAACAGAACTATAAATAAATTCACTTTTAATATATAAATAAAATTTGTGTGTTAAATAGGGATCCAGCTATAAACAAATGAACAGCTATAGATAACAGTGTTGATCTAAGAAAGTGTCTTCAAAGTTATTTTAAAGGCTATTATTTGAGTTCAAGAAGGGACTCACAAAATAGCAAGGCTATGCCCAACAGTATTGCAAGGATGGCCCACTTTCCAAGTCTGATTTCTCCGATGCCAGTCCTGGGAACTACGCGAAGTGTGCAGTCATTTTCGGTAATACAGTCACATACTATAACATTTAATAGAGTGACATGTGACAGGCCATGTCTATCTGTAACTCTGACAGGTACTGTATATGGTCCAAACGGAGGGTCATTTTGATAGAAAAGACGTACTGCAGTATCTGAAAGAAAATAAAACCAAGAGTTATAGAATGCCATTGATTTCTCCTGAGCACAAGTAGCTAGTGATAGGACAGATATCAAATTTCCCTACAAATGGATTTTCCTGATGGGACAGCACCACTGCTACAGATTGTAAATGTGAATGGACTGAATAGTTCTAATCTACAGCCGTTGCAAACATATTGCATATAAAAGCTTGTTTCTGCCCCTTTAAAAAAGGTCTTTTGGTTTTTGTAATAATATATTTGTCTGTCCCTAAATAAATTCTTATCCTAACCAAACTTGTTAAGAGATTGGTTTTTATCACAGCTTTAAAAATTTTAATGTAACCATTCAGTGTATATTTTCATTTATACATGATTCATCAGACTGCTATTTCATAATAGTCTTAAATTCTAGACACAGTGCCTTGACTTGCCACCATAGCTTCTATACGTCCTTATTTTGCTTCCTCCATTCTGTTTTTTCTTTACCTTTATTCAAGCCTTTTCTTTTCTAATTTGCCATAATTGAAGAATATTCGTTGAAAACATGGGGCTAAAAATCATTCCAGGGCATTTTAAAGACAAACCCCACTCAGCTTAATGGATCTCTAGTCGTGGCACAGGGAGACCAGGACATCGTGGCCCCTGGGCAATATAGTCAGGAGATGGAGAACGTGCTCAAGAGTTGAGAGCTGCTGTAGGGAGTGATGCAATGGTGATATGGAGAGAGGTCCCTTTTACTTTTGCCACTCTTGTCACCACTGATATGGCTGTGCTTAAAGTCGTAAGTATAGACTAGGTACCAAGTTGGGGGAGAATCCCAAGTAGAAAACAATAGATAAGAAATGGTCAGAAGTCACTACAGCAGAGAAAGGAGACATAGTATGGTGGACACTGTGACACACACCCAGATCCCCCTGCAATCAGGGGCTTACTGTCCTAACTGCTTGGGAGACAATCAGCACCTTTAGAGATTGTACCTTCCTGCAAAAGGTCATGCCTCTCAGGGTGGCCCAACCCACTGACCGAGCAAGGAGAAAGTAAAGAGACTCAACTTGGGGCACGCTGAGGAGCCAGTTAGCTCAGACTCCCCATGGGTTCAGCTGATACTCTCCTTTGGCCTGTTACAGCTTGACTTCTCTTTTTGCCCAATTCCACTTCCCTTCCTGTCACAGTCACTGATGCCAAGCAAACTCTTTAATAAACATTCTTCCTAAGAAACTCTGTCTCAGAGTTGCTTCTTGGAGAAGACACCCATGATATATGAGTATTCCATTATGGAACCATTAACATGGAAAGAATCTATGGAGGTGGGAGGTACACAAGTCAGAAGTGATTATATTAGACACACTCTACGCATCTGTGTATGTGGAGCAAGAATGAAATGAGAATTCACGTTACCACAAGGCCAATTAGAGACGAGCACTCATGAGACCCACTGCCTACCACGCTAAAACTGAGAAACCCGCCTCTTTTCATTGGTGGTTGCTACATGGTGAATGATTGTTCTGTTTCATCATGAAAGAAGCATGTTAGGGCAGGGGAAGGATGAACAGTATAAAGGGGGTAAAATATATTATGATGGGAGGAGGTCAGACTTTGATTGTACTCCAGAAGCTTATATAATGTCACCCCAAGAAATTTAATTTAAAAAATTAAAAAAGAAAAGTATTTTGATGTTGAAAAGGACAACATAACTTTTAGAAATACGCACCATTAATTTTTGTCAGTCCCCACATTCTCTGTACTTCTGAATCAGAATCACCCTCCAAACTGAAGCTAAAGGGTGGGCCATTTACAGGGTCATCAGGATCGAAAGCAACAATCTCCGCAGAGGACATGACGGTCTTGCAGATTATCACTGTCTGTTTCAGTATTAACGGGCCATTATCATTCACATCTTCAAGTATAATTCCCAGTGTCCCAGTACATGTTCTTCCATCTAGAAAATCAGATATAAAAATACAACTTTTAATGTTTTGAGTTTTCACTAGGGTATTATGCATTAAAATTTTTATTTAAATATTTTTTAGGTACCTGTAACCTATAAATGACAGTGACAAGCAGTCACAGGTTATGTCCTTAGGGAATGTTAAAAGTAAAATATTATCACTTTCAAATAAGTTGTACAGACAATAACTGATGTGGAGATTTGTCATTCATTCACTAAATAGCTACAGTAAATATGGAAACTTTTATGGACGTGAGTTTTGACTCATTTTTAAAAGAGAAAGGAAGAGAGTATGAACAAGGACATTTCTGGTATATTTAAAAGCACAGGGAAATTCAAGGAGTGGGAAAGCACAGTCTGCACACCCATGTTCTAGACATAATGAAGGGGAAGGCAGGGAGGTTTGTACTTTATTTACTGGCATACTTTCTATCAGGGCACAAGAACCTCACCCTTTGACCTCTCTTGTTCTCATGCTATGTGGTGCTTTCTTGTTCTCTCTGAGAACTGGGACTATTGGATGTCTTGAATGTTTCTTTTCATTTGGGTCCACACAAGTTGAAAGTACAAGTCTTACCAATTTAATCTGGTTAACTGCATTGTTCCCACAGTGTTTGCTCTTCTACTTCTGTGCTAAATGCTCAGATTTCCTTTCTATTAAACATTTGGAGTTGCTCATTAAACTACAGTCTCTTTGAGCATTGTAATTAGTATTATTATAGAATATTTAAACCAAAGATTTTAGGTATCTAATTCACAGTGTTTCACAGCTGTTTTTCATCTGTTGGTGAAATAAATAATACTCTTTTATTCATTGGACTGTAGGCACGCAATGCTCATCTTCTAATATTAATGTAATTTTACATTGGTGAGTACTAATTCCAAATATAAAGTCATGTCAAGTGGATCACCCAGGGCCCCATGATTTATGGCCTCTCCTGTTAAACGTTTTAAAAAATTGAAAGTACACTCCTCTCCAAATTTAGAATACACAACAAATATAAAATCTAAAACTCAGCTGTAGAGAGAAGATACCTGGGTGAAACAGTCAAGAGTTTGGACTAAGAAGATACTGAGAAAAAAAAGGAAAGGAATGGAACTCAAAGCTGAAGAGATAGATGTGTTTAGGAGAGGAGAAGGTAGTAAAAGCAGAAAGCACAGAGAAAAGAGGAATGTGTTGAAAAGTAAAGACATAGAAGCCTTGAGAGAGTTTTACAAAGAAGAAACAAGTGCTTTGGAGAAGTAGGAGGGTGGGAAGTGAGCATGGTCCAGGGGTCAGTGCTCCCGAGGAAAGAGCATCTTTCATTAGGCAGTAAGCAAAGATGTAAAATTACCTATCCCCCTACCTTCTTCAAAAAAAGAAAAAAGAATGAGAGAGGCCTCATTATACATTTATTTTATACCACAATGATGATTAACAGGACCTCGCTATTAAACTCCATAAAAATACTTGATCTCTCAATTATTTTATTTACTCCACAACAGAGAAGAATGTAAAAAATAATTATATTCAAAATCTCTACTTGGAGGTAGTAATTTTTATCTCATATATCAACAAACCATTTGCCAAGTGCTATAAAAATGCGAAAATAATTGATTTGAGTTTCATATTATTTTTCTTCTTTCATTTGCGTTTGACCAAAAAATATGTCTTAACAAAGGTTCATGAGAAGCTGAGACCTTAACAGAGTCTTTAATTGGTTTAAGTTAAATTAGTAATGATTACAACTTTACCAATTCAATCAACAAATATGAAGTATTTATCATTAATTTAGAGGAAATTAGAATATCTAAAACATTTTTCAAAATCACTTCTAAATTCTAATTTTGCAAGCTAAAGTGTAATAATTTATGTTATTATAGTTAGCATATTTGTTTTTGAAAGGCACAAAGTTCAAATATATATTACAGTAAAATTATATCTTATGCACTAAATGAACCTCATGCATAATCATTGTGCTCACATTTCTCTCAATTTTGTAGGACTCACAGAATATGACTTTATAGTTTATGTGATTGTATAGACTGGTACTGTTTGTCTTTCTAATTTTATAACATACTATTAATTACGACTATTATTTATTTTTACATAATGTCCTTACTCAGAATTCTAACCCCCAAGTATACCGTTAATTTTTTGTAAGAAGACAGAACTATTTTCTAGGAGTGCACTGTGGGGCAATAAGTATATTCTCTCTATAATGAATTTTTCTGCCAAAGTAAATATTTTAAGAAATACAACTAGATAACTTGAAGCTAATTTTACTGAAGTCTTTTTCTCAATTTTTAATGATTATTTAACTTTTATAAATTATTCAAGTTTCAAGCATGTCTGTGACTGTTATTTTACAATTACATCTAAAACTGAGGGTGCTGTTAGAAAGAAGACATGGATTAGTAAACTAGAGCAAACCTCTCAATCACTCTGCATGTCATCTAGGGAGAAATGCACTTTGAGAATGTATACAGCTGACTTAAAAACGTATGTTGCTGGTTTAACAGCTGAGGATGCATGTAGCTAAGGATGTATGTAGCTGGTTTAAAAACAAAGTTCTTACCTTTGTCTGATGCAAGGATTGTAACATTATATATACCATTTCTGATGGACTCTGCCTCTCTATCCAAGTTTCTGAAAGTTGTAATTGATCCTGTGTTTTCATTAACAGTGATCCACCCCTTTGGATCATTTATTTTCTTATACCTGATAATAATGAATTAAAATAACATAATGTATCATAAGCCAAATTACAACACTGGTGCCAAACCATGTAAACTTGGAGTTAATTAAATTGAATTATGAATACCTTATGCCGCTGCTACTTCTCGTTTCTGGGTCGTATGCTTTATATCCATTGCTCTGTGTATTTACTGGTGCATTTTCTTTAATTCGAACAGTTTGCACTGGAGGAGTACACTCAGGGCCCTCATCCTGATCTTTTACATTAACAGTAACTGTAGCCGTGCTCATGCTTGATCTTGAAGTAGTTTCTCTAAAATACGGAGCTTCATTAACTACACCAATTTGCAGGGTCACCTGCTGTCTTTCTTCATAATTCAGCGGCTATAAAAGCAAGTGTGTTGAAAATCAGTTCAAGACATTTAATATTTGGCAATGTTCACTGGTATGTATAACTACTTAAATTAGGAACTATGTAAGTGCTGTGTTGGGAACAGTCATGAGAATATTAAACGTATACCCAGAAACGAGGCAGTGGTGGGAGGAGGGCAATCCTTCAACTGACTCGGTGTTTGGTGAAACCAGCAAAACAAAAACAAGCAAAAACCCTATTCCCCAACTGCAGATTCAACACAAGTAACACCATAGGTCCTGATAACAATTTCAGGACGTATCTAATGAAAGTGCTTCAAGCCTGACACCTGAGATATTACTTAGGAGGCCCATACTCTAACCAACAGTTATTTACTCTTCCATTACTTTTGGGAGAGCTTAACCTGCCCTCCTAAAATGAATAAAATTATTTGTACCTGGTTTGAGGTAAAAAAATGTGGGCCAAATTTTATAAAACATTTTTAAGAGAAAAGACACAAGGAAACAGAAAGCTTACGGACATTACATTATCTTTTTTAAAAAATCTTTTCCCATCCTAGTTACTTTCCAAAAAAGCTGGCAGTCCCAAGTTTAGTGGAAGGTTTTTATTATGCCTGATCTTAGTTGTAATGAGAATGGATGAAACCATTTCTTAGAAGACAAAAATTGTGTCAGGTCTTAGACGTCACAGGAATAAATTTCCTTCTTAAAACTCCAAGGATTAGGGCAAGGGTTGGGTGAAGAAAGAGACAAGATTTAAGGGACATTTCTCTGCTGTTTTGAAACAAAGAAAACCCACTGACTGCAGCTAATTTTCATCACTGTAAGAAAAATGCATTCATCATTTTTTAATCCATGCTCCCTGTGAATATGTACAAAAGGGAAACCCCATAGACCCAGGAATTAATCGTATTATAATCAAAGAAGCAGCAGGTAAAAGCCTGTGACTCTGTCGAAAGCCAAAGAGGCTCAGATCACTGTCTGAGCTAACTCAGGCTCCTGAATGAGCAGCGAGTTCTTCTGAGATGCTATAGAATCATATTAAAAAGAAGTTTTAGAAGTATTTGCATGTTTGAAGGGCAGAGGCTTCTCATTCTGAACTGGGAAACTAAGGATGCCATGTACACCAGATGCAGAGGAAGAGCTCTACAAACAGCCTCCCTGTGGGTTTGACCAGGAATAACTCATCATTTGGGAAATTCAGTAGGTGGAGGCCCTTGACCCAGCTGCAGAAGAAGAAAGAATGGGCTGGGAAAGTCTGGCCTGTCCACTGGCCTCGCAGCTGTGTAAGTTTCTGAATTGTTAAGAGATATTGATTACAAAGTGAATTCCACTATCATATTATTTGAACACATATATATTTATATATTTATAATCATGACTTTCTTTAAGGTTCCTCATGCTAGTAATTTTTAATTAATTTATGAAGAGAGGGTTGTTTCTGAGATTTAAAGTGTTACTTACGGACTATTGAATCATTTGGCCAAAAGGTACAAATTTCCAGTTACAAAATAAACATGTCATGGGAATGTAGTGTACAGCATGGTGATTATAGTGAATAATCCTGTATTGCATATTTGAAAGGAGCCAGGAGAATGGATCTTGAAAGTTCTCATCACAAGGAAAAAATTTTTTGTAAGTATGTATGGTGACAGCGAGGAACTTGACTTTATTGTGGTGATCATCTAGCAATATATACAAGTATCAAATTATGTTGTATACCTGAAACTAATATAGTGTTATATCATTTATACCTCAATTTAAAGAAAAAAATTTTCCAAAATGAATATTCATTCCTTTATATATGAAGAAGATAGCATTTACATTTATCTATGTATCTATATATTCCTACACTTACCAAAACTCCTTTCCTTTCATTAACTCTAGTATACTAATCTATAATATTATAAACTTAAAAACAACTAACATATTAATTTATCCTTACCTTAACCACACACAGAACTCCTTCATTGGTTTTGGGATCTGTTACAATTTTAAAATTTCCATTTTCATTGCCCTTTAAAATGGTATAATTAGCTCTCCAATTAGCAGTATTAATTAAGTCTTTATCTTCAACACTAACACGTAGGATTTCCACATCCACCGTATTTTCTTCCACTGATGCCACATACTAAAATAATAAAAACAAAACAAAAAAAGTTTCATTAGTAACTCTCACAAAAATAGGACACCCTGTGAAAGTAAGCTCTCTTCTTCTAATTTCCAAAGTACTCTGTTTACATGATTTTAAACCACAACTCCAAACTGTTGTCCAGGGGCTCCTTCCTTTGAAATCATGTGACGTGGGTGAGATGCGCTTCTTTAGCAATGAACACTGGGTTGTACATTTTTCTCTCATTAATACCATGTACTTACAGAAGTACGAGTAAAGGTTGGTAAGTGGTCATTCACATCTTCAATATGAATGAGGCAAGTTGCAGTCGTCTGCAAACCAAAATATTGACCATTCATGTCCTGTACTTTTATTTTCAACTGGTATTTCTCAATTAACTGAAAAGGAAGTAAGAACTGAATTACTCAGTGAAAGCAACATTATAAATGAAGTCTTATTTTACACTTTTACAATTTTCCTTACATTAAAAATTGAAGAGGGACGCTATTAAACTTCATAGATTTCATGTGCTGGCAGAAGAATAATTTCCTCACCCTAATTTCAATTAATTTATGAAAATAGAGTAGTTTCTCAAGTTTATAAAGTGCTACTTATAGATTATGGAATCCGTTGATTTTAGCTTTACTCAACAGAAAGAAAAGATATAGCCCTAGTACATTTAAAATTAATCAAAATCTTTATCTTCTATCCAAAGCACATTCTTAGATGTTAAAAAACACAGAGCAGTGACTCAGACCAGTCTTGTAAGAAAACAATAAAGCAAATATTATTCTGTTAAAAAGACATATTTTACTTATTTACTGTACATTGATTTAAAAAATCATTAAATTAGCATGAAAACAAGGGTTGGGGCTATAGCCTTTTTTGTCTCCAAGGAAAATAAAATCTGGCTCTTAGAACTTTCCATTCATCAGAGATGGCAGAAGGCTAGTTAAAAAAATGTGTTTCTCCTCATGATGGTTTTATTTATCATAAGTAATTAAGATATAGAATGATTAAAATATTGATAATAATGCCTCTAGACTGAACATGAGGAAACTTGGGTTCTATTCTCAACTCCCAAAATAACAAATGTAACCTCAGGCAATTGAAAAATTCTCCTTATTTAAGTTTCTTCCTCTATAAAACCATGATAATAATACGTTTCCTTCGTAATTCCCCTTTTCATAAGACAAAATAATATGTGAGAAACTATCCTAACCTTCCACCTTTTAGAATGTTCACCATTCTCTTACACAGCCACCTTCTTCTCCTATTTCCATCACTTCTTAAATTTCCTTGTCTTCATTCATTTCCCTAAAAACAAATTTCTCTCAATCTCTACAAATTTTTCTGATTTACTATTCCCTCATAACCAATCAAATATGTTAACTTGAAAAGTAACAGCCTTATTGCATTTAAAAATTCTAAAAACCCCATGCTAGTATACTTTCAGGAGGAAATATATATTTTGTTTGTAGTGAACGAAGACTTATTAGGAATAACCAATTGGTTGATAAAGCAAAGAAATGAAGTTCTGTGGGCCTATATATTAACTTGTGATATCCTTCAATGGAACAAAAACTCTGATCTTTAAAGAGCTTAAAGGGTTGAAGGTAACAGATGAAAACTGGAAGCCTGAAGTCTGAAAGTGGCTTCAGAGCACTTGGTAAAACCACTCTAAAACTCCTTTATTAGTTTTCAGCTGATTCTATCAGAAGGATCTATTCAAGACTTGATGATAAAAGAGGAATTGGTTTATAATCCACTTTTCCTGAGCACATAAATTCCACAAAGAACCTGCTGTAACACTAATTCATTCATTTATCCAGGAAATGATATTGTATTCTTCACTGGCACATACAATAAAAATAAGTGATTTTATAAATAATAAGATAAATAAGTGTCAAATTCACTTGGGAATTTCTTTGTGGATGCAGTAAAAAAAATGATTAATTTTATTAAGTTTCAATCCATAGGACATGTGAAGAAATGGGAGGTAGGCATAGAGCACTTCTGCTGAATAACATAGTCTACTGTTCCTCTCAAGGAAAAGTACTTGTGTGATTGTAATAACAAAGAAATACCTGATAAACATGTAATACTGTATTTTATTTTTATAAAATACCATCTTTATATGAAAGACATCTATGATGATTCAGATTGGTACCTTTGAAAGACATTTTGTCAAACATAAATTGAAGGTCACTTTAAGGGAAAAAAAAACCCTATTTGTTACCAATAATAAATTGGAATGGTTAAACAAAAATGAGAATTCTAGAAAATTTTTATCAATCACTGTGACATTAATGGAAGTGAGGAGGTGATTTTTCAACGTTGTTTAATATAAGGTGTCGATATTTGGAAGATCTGCATAACTTAGTGAACCAATATGATGAAAGCATGTTACAAAATCACGTATGGGTAAACTATCCACACACAGTACAGATAGGCCAAAGGGTTTTTAAGTAACAATGCATGAAAGTTCATTGATAAGGCTTCAGAGTGCACTTTGCAAAAAAATGTTTAGGAAACTACCACTTGTCAAGTTTTGATATAGTATCAAAGATGTATATCCACAATAATCTGAAATTACTATCAAAATACTCTGCTCTTTTGTAACTTCATATCATGTTAAATTTTCTTCATTTATGTTAGCTAATACTACATATTATAAGAGCCTGAATGCAGGAAATATGGGAATCCATCTGTCTTATATAAAGCCAAATATTAAAGAGATTTGGAAAACTGTGTAATAATGTCACTGTTCTCACTACATTATTTATTATTTTGGAAAATGTAATTAATTTTATAAAAATGTTATTTATGTTAACATGTAATATATCTATTATTATTTTAACTGGGTAATTAAATACATATTTTAAATTTTTATCAGTTTTAAATGCTAATGAGTAAATACTGATAAATATAACCCACATAAACAAAATATCTTTGGAATCTTCAAAAATACTTAAGAGTGTAAAGGGATCTTGAGACCAGAAAATTTGAAGACCATCGCTCTATTCCATGAGGGATAAAGAGAAGAGGAAATTAATTTGATATGAAGTTTTAGAAATCAAAGAAATACCTGATAAACATATAATACTATATTTTAAGATTAAGTATTATAAATGTAGTGAGTAGGCCAGATAAACTGCTCTAAGAATTCAGCAGAATATATGCTTAGTGGAGGAAGTAATAGTCGAATAACCAAGTTACTAAATTACTAAACTGTGTCAGTTGCAGGGTTAATGGACAGAATATAAAAGTAAAATAATTTTGGCAATATCAACATGCTTTGGAAAGTAATTCTGATCAAGGGGATAAGAGGAGATTTCAGATACAACTTGGAGAACATGAACTCAAGGTCATAAAAGAAAAATTATTAATAAGATAAGAATGTATTCATGTCATTTTGACTAGAAGACATGGGAGGGACAGCATGTTTAGAAGGAAAGAAGAGTTTGATTTTAGATGTACTGCATTTTAAGTACCTGTGAAACATCCAAGTAAAGATTCCCGGGAGACAACTGAAAATAGTTAGCCAGATACTAGAGAGAGAGACTTTCTTTTAACCCATGCAAATGGCAGAATGCAAATGAGCTTACTGAGGAAGGCCTGATGCAGACAGAAGGAGCGCTGTTATGTGTAGATAACAAATTTCTACACATTGGCCAAAGTTTCACTTTTCATAGTTGATATTTGTTTTTAATACTACAAATATCTATATTAGGAAATTCAATTTTATAAAACACAATTCAGGAGAGAACACATTAGAGGTTCAAAATTAGTGCATTGCCAAGTTAATGACCTCCATTAACAGGCTTAAAATGATAATTTTTCAAAAACTGGATTCACAACACATTTTTCAAAAACATATTTACAGGGAATATACGGAGATCTACAGGCACTATTAAATAACAACATGGAAAACAACACTTTTGTTAACACTATGTTACCTCTCTGTCTAGCTGAGATGACGTCGTGGTAATCACACCTGTAGACGGATGCATGAAAAATACGGTGGGGGATGCTGGCAGCTGCTCAAGGATGGAGTACTTGAGCTGCGTGTGCAACGTGCCGGGTTCATCTTTGTCCGTTGCAAACACCTGTCCCACAGTGCAACCTACATATTAAAAAAATCCTCTTTAATTCCAAAACTTTTACATTTTCAACTTTCCCTTTATATCATTCCTTTCCATCTACTTCGAAAATATTTTGGAACACTTACTTATATAGAAGAGTAATAACAGATTCTATAATAATAATAAAGTAATAGTTCGAGGGTTTCTATATAAAGTATCCCCTCCCTTTAAATATCCCAGCAACCAAACATTGGAATTCGGTGACCATATCCATATTTACTCTGTTTAATGTATAATTTTACAAGTGTTGATAATATTCCTTCATGGTCTTTGTACTTCTAGACTAAAGAGTTCTAATTATTCTTTAACTTTTTTCTATTTGAAAGCTTGTACTTAAGTTGATCATACGGGTTTTCTCCGAAAATTCTTGGTTTAGTTAGATCTTTCTAGAGGAAGACTGAAAAACTGCATTCTGTCTCCAGCTAAAACGGTCCTTCCTCACGAGATGAGAAAACACTTATATTATTCTCAATGATCTTTATGATTATTCCCAGAATACTGTCAATCAATCACTACAAAGTATCAGTGAATCTCTTCAAGGTTAAGACTTCAGTCGCTCAAATGCTTACTCTTTTTGGAGCACGTTCTGTTATAAGTATTCGTTTTATCTAACACAGGGAGGCAAAGTAACACTTATTGAGTAATTCCTATTTTTCAGACACTGTGCTTGGCATTCCATGTGTATTATGCTGCATTTAATCTTCATGACAAACTTGCATATTGATACCCCACGTTACAGATAAAGAAACTAAGGCTTGTCAAAAAATGTTTTTTAAAAAAATATATCTTTATTGATTTCAGAGAGAGGAAAGGAGAGGGAGAGAGAGATAGAAACATCAATGATGAGAGAGTCATTGATTGAGCCCGCAACCCGGGCATGTGCCCCGACCGGGAATTGAACCCCGATCTCCTGGGTCTTAGGTCCACGCTCAACCGCTGAGCCACGCCCAGCCAGGCTTGTCAAAAATTTTTAAAATTGCCCAGGGTCACAGTGCACAGCCAGCTAGTAAAAGGCAGAGTAAAATTCCACCAGAGCAGCCTGATGAGTGAGTCCCTTTTCCTCACTGCCTCCCAATGGCATAGGAAAACTGAATTTTTCAATTGAAACACCAAGCTCCCAAACATTGTTAAAGCGGGTAGCTACTCACCAATTCTTGAATGTTCAGCAACTGTGAAAATGAAAGTTTCACTTGTAAAAATTGGGTAATTATCATTTTCATCCTCAATTTTGATTACTAGGGGAAGTGGAAATTCTGGATTATATCCATCTGGAGTTGTTGCAAAGGCAACGAGCTGTGAAGAGGGTAAAATAAGAAGAAAAACAAAAATAATCTCTCAAAATATGGTTCAAACTAGTGTTGGCTTTAAGTCGTACAGTTCAGCGTTGCAGTGTGAGGTTTACCATTTGTTATTGTGTCTGGATGTGGGCATAACCTTAATGCCACAAAAGGTGGTTAATTCCATGACATAGTCTAGCATTTTACGTTTAAATTTGTATAATATAATAATATAGATAATTTTGGTTTCCTCACTATTGCTGTATTGCTGTTCAAAAGTGTAATGGTTTTTATTATTTTCCCAAAACAGTCTTAAAAATTATTATATTTTGTTTTGTTTGAAAGTTTCAGGTGCATTAATTTTAAATACAATTTTCTGCATCTTTTAAACTTTGGATCCTTAGGATTCCAAATTTCCCATGTGCAATTAGCTTAGATATTGTCTTATTTTCTACTAATTAATGACTTTAGGTATATTGATGGTTATATTTAGATAATTGTCTTCATACAAACTTTTAGAGTTAAAAAGCAGGAGTCAGAAATAGAACAAATGAATGGTTGTAAATTGTGTGTGGAATATAATCTGTTTCTTTTGATTTCATAATATTTATTTCAATTCTTTTTCCTCAGAACAACTATCATAGAAAGAACAGGTATTTAGATGGCTGTATTATAGCAATTCTATCCCTAAATATGTAATTCTAACTATAAATGTCTATTCAGTTAATTTGGTCTATTGGTGAATAATTAATTAATCAAAAATAGATATAAAATAATTTAAACTAAATGACCAGGCCCTGATGGAAAATCAATACATTAGGTTAAATTCTTACATTATCACTTATCATTCCACCATGGGAAGTTACCCAGTTAACGAAATGACTGAATAATCTTAGTTCAGCACTGCCCATAGTCCTTACTTACTCACCACAAGTTAATTTTCTCCCACTGCAAAGGTACCGAAGTAATTCTAAACCCCACTTACCTCCCATCTCTCTCTCTACCATAAATAGACTCACAGATCTTTTCTTTCAACTAAATAAATGGTTTTGAAGTGGTACTCTTTTATCGTTTTGAAAAACTAACCAACAAAAAAACACAAACAGTCAAACTATGATACCAAGGACTTTCTAATAGAATTTATAAAATTCTTTTTGCCTCAAGCCAAGTATATGCTATCAGATGCCTCAGTGACAAACTCATAAAACAGAAAAGGGCAAATGAATTGAGAGTGAGAAACAAACTAGCCAAGTTTAATAATTACTAATATAATATATAAACTTTAGACTTTACCTCAAAAGAGTCATACTGCTCACGATCTACAGGACCAGTACAAAACAGCTTTCCAGTATTTCTCTCTACATAAAATAAATTCAAGGGTGCTTGGTCAACTCCAGGGCCTCTTATAGAATAGTATATAGTGTAGTTTTGTGCTGTATCAGATTCGACCTAGAGGGTAGATGTTATATACATGAGACAAATTTTTATTTCAGCAAAACTTTCATCTATATATTTATATAATCACATTGCCATTTTTATTGAAATTATTATTATTATGTATGAATAAAAAGCAACGAGAGAATAAGGACATCTGATAATTGAGAAATTTCAAGAGCAAGGCGTGAAGAAAATAATGTAGTAGCATCTTACTTTTCCAGAATAACTAAGGAATACCTTAAAGGCTAAATGATACCTATGTGGACCAAACATCTAAGGCTTTTCCTGTCCTAGAAAACAAAGTATTCTGAGCATGAAAAATTATCTTGTTGTCATTTTTTTTTAAAGAAATTGAATTTTTATTTTATAGAGGGGGTTGGCAAATGTAGGTTTACAGTTGTAAGACAAATAAATAATACAATAATTCATAAATAATAATACAAGAAAAAATGCTGTTTTGCATACTCACAACTGTAATCTACATTTACCAACCCATATTTGAGATATTGCATTTAAAATGTTCTGCGTGCATGGTAAAAACTTAGCAATTATTTTCCTTAATTAGTTTTTGTTATTTGTCAGCATCTTCTTTATTATAGGAGCTGAGTTTGTGTGTTCGGGGGAGGGGCGTGGATAATGGGAATAATAATGGCATAATGTCCAGGCAAGTGTAATATTCTGGTACTTGATTCAAAAGCAAGTTTCTTCCAAGTTGTTTCCCACCTCTTGGTGAGATCTTGACGATACATCAGGATGATTAACACAGTTATTTTCTAAGAACTTCTTCCTCAACTTTAATGTGCTATTGTCTTCACTGCATTGAATTTGTGGGTGGAATGTAAAGGAGGGTTCTCTCCCACCATTTCAAAAATGAGGGAAAAGAAACCCAAGTCATGGATTGAGTGGTAGTGGGCACTGATGGTGGAAGAAGGCAAAGAGATTTGTTAAGGTTTCCACTAAATGTTTTTTAAAAAGAAAGAAAGGGGGAGAGAGAAAATGTGGATCCAGTACGATTTAAGCTGTGGACTTAGGGATAAGCAATAGAAAGATGTAAAGATGTATGTGTCTTTCCCCTTCATGACGTTTGGCCTTTTATCAGCAATTTTCACCCTTTTTAATGGAAGATGATGTTTGGGAGTTTTCTAGACTATACCCAGGCCTTATGATACCCTTGTTGGCATGAAAATTCATTAAGGAGCCATGAGTTTGAGAGTGTTAGATGTGTTTTACAGTTTTATTAATGGCTTTTGCATGAAAGTACATGTAGGTATAAAAAAGTACATGTAAGTATAAAGATATCTATATATGCCTATGTACTTAAACATATGGTATACATACTCATTCATTCATATATCCATACACCATTATCTTGTAAATACTTCATTGTCCAAATTAAAAAAAAAAAAAAAAAAAAAAAAA